GATACTTTATAATAAAACTAGTGGCCCAGTGAACGAAATTTGCAGGGGAGGGCGCGGGAGAGTAGGAGGTTCCGTCAGCCCAGCCTGCAACCTCTCTAATCGGAGACCCCTTGGGGGATGTCTGACTGCCAGTTTAGGCCCAATCTGGGACTGCTGGCTTCTAACCGCTCACCTGCCTGCCTGCTTGATCACCCCTAACTGCCTCTGCCTTCCTGCCTGATCACCTGCCTGCCTGATCTCAACCCCAACTGGCTTCTGCCCTGCCTCATCATCCCTAACTGCCCTCCTCTGCCAGGCCTGATCTCACCCCCCAACTGCCCTTCCTAATGCCAGCCTGATTGCCCCTAAACCCCCTGCCAGCCTGATCTTTACCCCCAACCTCCCTCCCTCTGCCAGCCTGATCTCCCCTAGCTGCCTCTGCCTTGGGCCCCACCACCATGTCTTTGTCCGGAAGGAAGTCAGACATCCAGAAGATGGCCAGTTGACCTGGTCTAATTAGCATATTACCCTGTTATTAGTATAGATAGATTATATAGGATAGGATTGCTTAAATGGGGGGGATGGGGAGGAAAGCCTTTTTCAGCAGAAGGAGATGCTCTTGGCAGACAAAAACACATAATCCCTATATCTGGACTGATAGCCAGCCATATGCACTATGCTGCCAAACAAGTCATTAAAAAATTGAACCGCTTCCTTACACCTTACACCACACAGCTGCTGCCCTTAAAACCCCTCCTCAGCCCCCACCTTAGGTTCTGCCTTCGTAGTTCACCCAAATTAGGTTCTGATTGGTCAGTTTCTATGCCAGTCAGCATCAAAAGCTCCACCTGCTAGGCAGCCATTGGCTCCGGGCACTTCACCCAGATTTGGTTCTGATTGGTCAGTTTCTATGCCAGTCAGTGTCTCTGGGCCTATCTCTGGGCCTGATCAAAGAGGCGGGATTGATCAGCAGCCCCCCCAGAGGCCCAAAGAGAAACAGAGGTGTGGCTGCTGTGGAAGCCCGGAGAGAAAGAGAGAGGCAACGCTGATCAACAACTGCCACAGAGGCTGTGGATCAGACCCTGCCTCTCTCTCTGCAGGCCTCTCTCTGAGCCTGATCCGCAGCCCCCTTGGCAGTTAGTGCTGGGTTGCTGCACCAGCACCAGCTGCAATCAGTGCTGGGTCACCATGGCAACCCAGCACTGACTTCCAGTGTTCGGTGGAGCCTTGGTTGTTGAGGACATTATGGACCCTGGCTCTTTATATATATATAGATAAAATCAGTTGATAAATGAAGTGTTTAGGATTTATAGGACATATTCTTCATGGTCTCACATCTCTTAAGGTTGTGCCCTTGGAAGACTAAAGAAGCAAGATTCTAAGGCCTCAAAACTATCAACCTTTGGTTATTTGGGCCTCTATAATAATTTCACTATGATTGCATAAACTGTGGGAATCTTTAAGCCATCTTGAGCCAAGTAAAATAAGTATCTTATTTTACTGTTACAGATATGTATCCTGCTTTATGTACATTCCATACCTATATGCATAAATATTTTTCCACCTCAAAATTAGAAAGCAGCCTATAAGAGGCTGAAGTTTTAGGTAGGTCACCATCTCTGCATCTCTTTTTTCATGGCTTTTAGAGCTGTGCCTCAGCTTAACTTATGTGTTCTACATATTATAACCAACCTCAGAGATGCAACAAGCATGCACTAGATCTCATAAACTAGAGCCCCACAGGCCAAATTCAACTCACTGTTTACTTTTGTAAATAAAGAGTTATTGAAACATAGCTTGCTTTCCCTGGCAGAATTGAATAGTTGTGACAGAGACATATGGCCCACAAAGCTGACAATATTTACTATCTGACCCTTGACAAAATGTTTTCCAACCCTGTGCTAGACAGTCTCTCAACTTTCTCACTACAGAAGAAAGCTGCTGAGTTGTGTAGCTATTATTTCATTCAACCAACATTTATTGAAGGCCCACTACGTGGTAGGTGAAGTGTAATTTGGAAACCACCTTGGCACATGTAGTTTGGCAGATATGTTCCATACTTGAACCCCAGACTCCTTTTTCTACATCCTGATGAGGTGCACTTCACTGCCCCCAAATGGAGTTTGCTTGACAAGCAAAACCCATATTCCTTTTTTGATTTGTGTATTTACATTTAAGGAATGTGTTTGAGCTGTGGCTAAATCTTCCAGTCTGCTGGCTCATCACCCCTGACTTTTTAGCTAGGTGCTAAGATTTGGAGACAAGGATGAGGAGAGTAATTATCCATAAACACCATGCCTTTATGGTTATAAGAAATAGAGTCTCTGATACATTTGGAAATTGATGTCCAGTTTACGATGTTTCTTTGCAAGTTTTTTGTTACCATGGTTAAAAATACCTGAATCATTACTTTATTTTTGACAATAAATTCCTAAGAGGTGAACTGTGTAAATCCAGAAAATTTTGGAGAACTCCCATTTGGCTATCGGGAGCTCATAGCAAATGGAACTCAAGTGTTGGTGTTTCCAGAGACAACCCTGCACTTTAGAAAATATATGGATTAATCCTGACTGAGGGAAAAAGAATTCAGATCACAGCCTGGGACAAAGTGGCTGATGATGTACCAGTTCCTGAGAATTCTTTCTCTGCCGTATTTCTCTTACTGGCTTCTTCCTTTCCCTTCCATTTCCTCTCAGCTCCCTTTGGCCTTTACCTGCTCTCCTCTGATTAAGGGAAACAGAAGTTCACTGGTCTGCAGCCTCTGTGCTCACGCTACTCCCTAGCTCGTGTGCAAACCACAGCGAGGTGGAGGCAAGGCCAGAACTGGAGTGCAGTCTCTTGTCCTCAGTTCAGTGCTCTTTCCCTGAGCCCCATGGCTGCTTTCACAGGAATTTGCCAATGGTTTCATCTACCACTAGCTTTTATGTGTTTTATAGGCTAGCTGGAGTCCAGCTTATCAGCTGACACTTTATTGATTTGGGTAGTTACATTTAAGGATCGTAACAATATGATGCTCTGTCTCTACCTTTACAGAAAGTGATAGGAAATGGCTGGTTTCTGCTGATTGCTCCCTTACTTAGAAAAGAAGTAAGGGAGCAATATCTATGATCTTACTCATAAAGTATTCCTGCAGAATTTTGGATTCTCTCCTAGATCTCCAGTTCAGCAGCCCATGGCTGGTAGATATGGCATGTGCATGGTGGTATCTGCCATCAGCCTTGTATTACATTATCCTGAGTCCCACACACCAGTGGCATGGCTGGATGATACATGCATGCCAGTCCTGACCATGTAGCCCTCACAAAGTGGTGGCCCTTTAAAACACCCAAAGACAGAGTATAGGGCTCTAGGGCTGAAGTCACTTAGAGTCATTATAAGGAATAAGAGAAAAATGAAAAAGACAAGAAGAAGGTAGTATTCTGTACTATCCCACTTAGGGCTTAAGAGATCGGCTTAGGAGCCAGGCACATGTGGACCTGAATCCCACCACTTCTAGCTGTGGGTCCTTGGGCATCTGCTTAGTCTCCCCTTGCCTTGGGTTTCCTCCTCTGTGGGACCTGGGTGATATCTCCCACCCAGAAGGTTTAGAAGGATCAAATCAGGTAATGACCATGTAAAGTACTTGCACAGCATCAAATCAAAACACTTTGATTTTTTTTTAAGGGTAGAAAATTTTGGAGAAAGGCTATGAGGAAGTATAGTGAAGGCACACACGGCCTACTAGCCTTCCACAGTATATGATACATATTTTACCCTGAACAATAGTGGTAAATCAAATCTCACCGAGCCAGGTCATCCCAGTGACACAGATGGAAGTGTTTTCCATTTCCCTATGCCTTGCCCAGAGCAACCACCCACATGAGTCATTTCCCTGGCCCATTACCGCTGACAGCGGGGCACAGGATGAAAACTAATGAGCCATTTGTTTCCAACGTGCCTGTAGGGTTAGCCACAAAATAGTCATTGACCCCAGAAACGTTTTTTTTCCTACCGTAAATTAGCAATAATTAATTCATGACTCCATATAAGTTTTCACTAATATTTCATATATTATCTTTTATTCAAGCAGCAGAGAGTATGAATTATAATGTTTGGGTTCATAAATTAATGTTAATCATTATTATAATGTTAAAAATTATAATAATGCTAGTATATAATGTTAATAATTATAACATTAACACCAATTATGTTAATTTCTATAACAGTATGTTATAGAAGTTAATGGAAGAATATCATAAGTTAATGGAAGAATATCATCTAACTTTTGGCAAGCAAAGTTGTATATTTAATTTATAGTTTTGGTTGTGTTTGTCATTGTTAATGTACTAACTAGTATGTTAATTAAATGTTCTTATTTTATAGTATGTGAATTATTGTAGAATCCTGAGAGTATTCTATTCTTCTTTTAGGATGAATCATTATATCTAACGTGATACTTACCTTTTAAATCTAAAAATATGTTTCTAGCCTTTCTTAGTGAAGACTGTCAGCCATGTCAGGGAAGATTATTTTATAATGTAAATGAATAATAGCTCTGGCCTGTGTGGCTCAGTTGGTTGGGTGTCTTCCTGTGCAACCAAAAGGTTGCTGGTTTGATTCCAGGCCAAGGCATGCCCGGTTTGCAGGCTCCATCCCCAGTGGGGGCCATGCAATTGATGTTATGCTCTCACATCGATGTTTCTCTCTTCTCCCTTCCTCTCTCAATAAAAATCAATAAACTATTGATTTTTAAAAGAAAATAATAATAATAATTTTAAAAGAATGAAACCTAAACTCTGGGTATTTAGATGAATGGCTGAGTAATAACCACCAGATTGTGTTTGAGAAGTTTAGGAGTTCAAATATCACACAAAGTAATTTTCAGATCAGTTTCTTTCAAATAGCAATTTGGAGTACTAGGCCTGCCCGGATTAATTTACAAATCTCAAAGGCACAGATCCAGTTTGTGGCCTACCCAGTCTGATAGCCAAGTCCTCTCCAAAAATATTTTAAAAGTCAATCCATTAAGTATAAACCCAAACACATTGGAATTTTAAGGGTTTTTTTTTATGAGAATAGAACGGTTGGAGGAAATTTTTTCAAAACCACAAAATGTGTCCATGAATGTTGGAAAAGAATGGCCAATTACTGTAAATGAGATCCCCCTGGTGAGGCAGTACCACCCAGGAAGGCTGTGCAGACAACATAGAAAATCAAGACAGAAACCACAGCCCACAATCAAGCATTAACTCTTCAGAGAAAATATCACAACCAGTGAAGGTAGCCCTTTGAATTTCTTCTATATGAAGATGGGAGAAGCCAATTAAAATGCCTGGCCCTAAATCACCATGTCCCTCCTCTGTAAAGAATGCATGTTATGCCCTAGCTGGTTTTGCTCAGTGGATAGAGCATCAGCCTTTGGATCAAAAGGCCCAGGGTTCAATTCCAGTCAAGGGCACATACCTCGGTTACAGACTCCTCCCCGGCCCAGGCCCTGGTCAGAGCTCATGCTGGAGGCAACCAATAGATGTGTTTCTCTCACATCAATGTTTCTCTCTGTCTTTCCCTCTCTCTTTTCCACTCTCCCTAAAAATCAATAGAAAAATATCTGTGGGCAAGGATTAACAAAACAAAAAAATAAATAAACATAAAGAATGCATGTTATCACTGAGACTCTACCAAGTTTCTGTTAATAAGAACACTTAACACATTTTTGCTATATATTTATTTATTCCCTTTTCTTATCTCTGCTTATAGGGGTCAAGCAACCACCAAAGCCATCAGGTGCTGGTAGAAATGCGTCCATGGACTCTACCCACTTCACAAAAAAACCAGGTAAGGGATAGGATGCTGACTTCACCCTTACTCAGCTCTGTGCTGGACTGTGGGCAGTAACTGCAGTATCATTTGTTGCAGCAAAAGCATCAGTATCCTCACGGCCTCTAGAGCAGTGGTTCTCAACCTTCTGGCCCTTTAAATACAGTTCCTCATGTTGTGACCCAACCATAAAATTATTTTCGTTGCTACTTCATAACTGTAATGTTGCTACTGTTATGACTCGTCATGTAAATATCTGATATGCAGGATGGTCTTAGGCGACCCCTGTGAAAGGGTTGTTCAACCGCCAAAGGGGTCGCGACCCACAGGTTGAGAACCGCTGCTCTAGAGCATCAGAGCCATGCTAGCAGCACCTGGGGATTACTAGGAAAGCATTCAAGAATCTTATGTTTGGGAGAATGAAAATGCTCTGTGTACAAATTAAACATTAATAAGAACCTCTAATGGGTACCAATTGAATAATTACTTTGTATAATGTTCTGAAGGGCCGTAATGCACAAATGCGGGTGAGTCACTGTGGGTTCTAGTCTTCCTCATGTTCAAGTTTTGCTCTTGTGTAATTTATTACAGTATCCTTTGCCTGAAATGATTTATGTTTCTAATTTACGACTATGCTCTATATTTGAGGCCCAAATTATGTAGCTGGTGACTTGGAAACTCTTGGCATTGAATAAGAACTCTGTGCTTTTTGAAAGGATACTGTGAAAGCTACTCTGGTGCATTAATGTTGGGGCTACAGATCTAAATTCTGTCAGCACTGCTCACTCCCCCCACACATGCATGCACATGCACACATACTTTTTAGTCTCCTAAGAAGAACTTAAAGACACAGGGCATTTTCCTGGATTGTCAGTTGTACATGAAGTTTAAAAAAATTAATTTTTTTATTGATTTAAAGAGAGAGGGAGAGAGAGATAGAAACATCAGTGATGAGAGAGAATCATCAGTGGGCTGCCTCCTGCACACCCCCTACTGGGGATCAAGCCAGGCATGTGCCCTGATCAGGAATCGAACTGTGACTTCCTGGTTCAAGGTTCGATCACTGAGCCGCACCGGGCTGTATATGAAGATTTTTAAACCAACATATATTATGCAAAGAAAGCTATAACACAGACTTAAAAGAAAATTTGGGTTACGTAGACTGCTCCAGGCACCCCTAGCCTTACCAGCCTTAGTGCAAAGTAGACACCTTGTGCAATTTTTAAATGTTGCCTCTTCCCTCCACCCTTTAGGTAAACCATTTACAAAAATGTATCTTTTCTCTGGGCTGGCAGCTTTGTACCAGGGCTTGTGGGTAGATGAGTAGAGTGGGTGTTAAACTTTGGTTCCCACTTACACACCTCTGCTCAGCTGCCCTTGTGCACTGCACGACCACTGACAATGACCCTGCTCTCTATGGGTTTATAGCTTCTGCCATCAAAGCTCCTTGGTTGTAATGATTTAAGTTCTGAAATTGTCCGTTTCATTCTAATTACACTAGAGGCCTGGTGCACAAATTCATGCATGGGAGGGGTCCAGTGGGCCCACCCTGGGGCCGATCTGCCAGGCAGGCCAGAAGGAGGGGCCATGGGCAGTTGGCCAGCTGGCCCTGCTCCCTGGTCAAACTCCCGGTGGAGGGGGCAATTTGCATATTAGCCTTTTATTATATAGGATAATAGAGTTTGAGGGTGAGATGGATCATCCACTAACAGAGAAATTATACACTTTAACAATTTAAAGCTAAAACAGTAAGAATTGTAGCCTCAAAATCAAAGGCAATTGCAGATAATGAAACTCAAAAACACTATTGCTGAGACTATGTGGGAAACTAAAGATGTTAAATTCTATACATTTATACAGTCTTTCAAGAGGCAGGTATACCTATACATGTTTATCTATAACTAGAGGATGTTTTCATATACTAATGTGTTTCTTCATTATTCCTGAATACATTAAAATCATTACTTTAGAAAAATATCAGAAATTACTTAGCACTTTTCTATAGAATCTATGCCATTCAATCACTACGTATTGAACGTTATAATTTTTTAAAACCTGTGATTTTTATAGAGTGAATCCTTATGACAACTTTATCTGTAATATAATCTCTTAGCCATAATTCCAGGCACTCGCCGCCCACCCTTGCCACCTAGACCTACGCCCCCTCGAAGAAAACCATTGCCACCAAATAATGTCACTGGAAAGCCAGGAAGTGCAGGTATGTCAGTCATATGCATCCCTTCTCTCTCCATGACTTCAGTTGTACTGGCCAACCACAGCCCTCCTTGTATACTAGCCCAGGCAACAGACAAGCCCTTGGTGTGTGTGATGGTGCCTGGGTTGGCCCTAAAGACCAGACATAGCTTTGAGGACTCATATCCTGGTTCTGGGTGGGTGGGTTGAAAGAAACCATCATTGAGCATCCCAGCCAATGTGTCTGCTTGGAGCCAAGACAGAAGCTGACTCAGGCCCTTCCAGGAGTGGATTATTTGGGACAAGATGTTGAATGTTGCCAACCCACCAGGGGTAATAGAAAATGTGAGGCCCTGTCATCAGCTTATCATTCTATCTTCTGAAATGAAATCCCACACATCTTGTTGAAAGCTCCCCTGTCCACCAGCCTTTATGCTGGCTCCAGTATTAGGTAGTGGAGGAAAGATTAGGGACTAAAATATTAGCAGCTCTAGGCCGAGCAACAAGGCAGTGGTATAATTTAGAAGTCGAGCTGCCTCTCACCTCTATGCCTTTTCATGTGTTATCTCCTTCCCATGGAAGGGCCCCTCCAAGTCACCTGGGATGCTCACACTTCACTCTTTTCTTAAAGAAGAGCCTTTTCTAACTCCCCAAAGTAGTCTTAGCATTGCTTCTCTGTTCTACTTGTCCTTGATACACACCTCTGTCAGAGCAAAGACCAAATTGGTTTATACCTGTTTGTTTACACACTTGTCTTCCCCTACTGGACCAGGAGTTCTGTGGGAACAGAGTCCTTGGCACATTTTCTCTGAATTCCCAGAACCAAATCTGGTGTGTGGCACCTATAGGATATTTGATAAGTTCTCACTGACTGAATAAATGGATGAAATTAAGAATTAATGAAAATTGACCTGGTTCAGAGCAAAGCTTTACCTCATTTCTCTTTGACTGGACTTGCCAGCACATCACAGCATGTTCCCCATCTTTCCTTCCTCTCTCCACTATCTCTACTTCCTAAATATTTTCTAGTTGGAAGCAGGATAGAAATGTTAGACAGCTGTGAACGATGAAAGGGTGAGGGGTTTACATGAAGGGGAATAGATGTCACTCTTCTCCCGGGACAAAAGTAGGCTGTGGTGATAGAGAAGCTTTTCTGATGTATCCCGTGCACAGTGGACTCTAGATCATTTTCCCATGAGCTGAAGGAGGGCTCAGCTCCTCACTCATGTTTTTGGTGCCTTCCTGAGTCAAGGCCCAGAGGCATGGCTGCAGTGAGGACATCTGGTTCTCCTGTAACCTGGGGTCAAATTGGATGAGTCAGACTGAAAGTGATGCCTGAGTGTCCCCCATAGAAAACTTGGGAACCCACCTGAAGAAGAACCACAAACACATTCCATTTCTGAGATTAACTCTGGTTCCCCACCTCATCCCCCTCGTACTATTCATCTCTCACTCAAAGGAAATGGCTCCCTGGAGGAGCCAAACACAAGAAGAGCAGTTGTACAATTTTGGCCTGATTACAGAAAGTGCATCCTGAATTCAGGAATCAGTAAAATGTTCTGGATGTCTGCGAGTACCCTCTGAGGCTACTGTGTAGATCCTCCACTTGCCCCCTGTGTCCAGATCTGCCGAGGACTCAGAGTCCCCCTCCCCTTGCCAAAGTAAAGGTGCGGGCTGCGTGCAACTTCTGTTGGTTTTTGCTCACCCTCTCTCTGTGGCCCGGTCCCACCATGACCAGGAGCATGAGTCTGCTGGGGTTGCTCCAGCAGCCCGTCTGAGGGACTCGTCCATGGTTTCATGCTGAGCCATGATGTTTGGGTCAGTGCTGTGCCCTTGACTCTTTGTTGTCTGAGATTGATCCCTTTTCCTGGAGGACTGTAAAATCCAATCTAGCCCCCAACCTACCTTACTTAAACACCCAGACTGGACTAGACCTGGGGATGGATCTGGTTTGGGAGACCTATTAGTGTTTTTAGTGGAGGAGACACTGGATTATAGTGTTACTGTTCTGGCTACTAGGCCAGAATCACAGATGTTACCTTCAAAATCATTTTCTTCTTCTTCAGCCGTCTCCCATGCCTGCCAGTTAACCTCCCAGTCAGGCTATGCCATCTCCTTGACATCCCTCATGTCTAATTCCTTCCATCCAGCCTCACTGCTTCTGCTGCAGTTCACCTCGCCTGCCCCTGCCTACACAACTGCTTTTGTCTCCTCTCTTCTCTCTCTGCCACCAGCCTTGCAGCCTAACTATTCATCCTCTTCTCATCTGATCTGGTTGTTTCCCTGTTGAAAGTCTTTCAGTGGTTCCTTGCTGCCTAAAAATAATGTGCAGATCCTGTTATATTGTAAATCAGAAGACGCCTTATCAATAAGCCAAATTTATTTGGAGTCCTGTTCATTTTTGCTAATTGTGGGCCCAGAGGAACTCTTGCTTCTCAAATTCTGGGGCCCAATATGGTGGAAGTCTTTTCAATTTATATGTTTTTCAGCTCTTTGTTTTCCAAATTTGGAATGAGACTTCCGGACCTTCTGAGAAAAAGTCCTGTTTGCTGGGACAGGGCCATGAGACCATATCTCAAGGCCTGGCCTGGTGCCAGCACTGACAACTCTGTCTGGGGCATATTTTATGGCCTCTCTGGAATGGGGAGTAGCTTTATTTCCCCTATTATTTAAGCAAGCAAATGTTTACAGAAGCCAGAATAGCAGGGTTAAAATTTTGAACAGCTGTTTTTACCCAAGATGGAGGTTACTATGCTTCAATCGGTGGTGCATGGCTCTTCAAGATCTGCCGTCCCTGCCCTCCACCCTTGGTTCTCACGGCCCCCAGCAGCACTGTGGGCTCTCACCCTTCAAATTAAAAATACCAAATGGTTACATGCTTCCTTGACTTGGTTCTTCTTGCAACCTCTGATTCAAATACAGCTGATGACTTCCCACTGATCACTTCTTTATTGTCACATCCTCCGTGAAGGCATTTTTACCTCCCGCCCCTCCTCCACAAAACCCTTCACCTTTCCGATAGATATTACTGTTCCTTCCTCTTGCCCTCTCGGTGACTTTAGCCAGTTCTTTCACAATATCGGTAATGATTCAGTATATTTGGCTCACACGTCTCTCTTGATCAAGGATACCAGGTCTTTTCTCTCCAAGCCTGGCATATAGTGCCAAGCTACATGTTAAGTGCCTAATAAATATGCATTGAATAAATAAATGGCGAACTGGGCAGTGCTCTTCTAAAGCCTGACCGCTTTGGCTCTATATTTCAGGGATCATTTCATCAGGCCTAGGAACTTCCCCACCCCTGAGGGCAACACTCAGGCCTACCGGACCCACCTCAGAGAGAACAGAGAGAGACAAAAAGGAACCAACAGCTCCCGCCTCAGGAGAAGATCTTGGTTAGTATGTCATTCACCTCCTCCTGGAGGCTTAGCTACAAAATACTCAAGGATTTCCAATTAGGGGGGAAAGAGTCTCAGCTCTGGATCATCTTTGTTACTTAATTTTATGATTAATATGATTATTTTTAGTTTTAAAATAGTACTTATTTTTAATGCTTTGGCATAGAATATGCTCCTTCCTTTCACAGACATAGAGGAAAGTACCTAAACTTTTTAGGAAAGTCTTCCTGAGAAGATATAGATTACCCAGTGCTTCTTACTAAATCACATCATTATAATTACATACGCCTTGTTTTATTAATAAGTATTAGCTGCTTGGTTGTAATCTTTAAAGCTTTATTTATTACATTGTAGAATGCCTAAAGCAGGACACAATTAAAGACCTTTTATTGCAGTTGATGTGAATAAAAAAAAAATGAAAATCAAAGTTGTGAACAGTTGACTAGGAGACATGTTAAATATTTATAGTCTTTACTACTTTTGATTGTATTGTGAAGCTTTATCTTTTGCCAAAATTGTTTATTATACTCCATTCTCAGGTGATATAACTGACTTTAGCTCAAGTCCAACAAGAGAAACTGATCCTCTTGGGAAGCCCAGATTCAAAGGTATGTCTGGCTTCAAATCTTAATTTTGACAAGGCTGTTTGGTGGGTGTATCAGTCAGAAGTTGCTATGCCACCCAACATCTTAGTGGCATGCATATAAGGATTTACTTCTCATATGTGTTCAAGTCAGCTTTATGATGATATTAACAAATGGGGGTCAGTTGATCTAGGATGTTCTTGGTTGGGTGGTTCTACTGGGCCTCTTGTGAGTTGGGGATGGGCTTCTCCTCGTCTGTTCATTCTAGGATGAAGGACCAACAGTGACCCAACAGTGACCCAAAAGAAACCATTCTCAGGACTATACAAAAACAAGAGAGGGGGACTCCAAATACACAATCACATTTTAAGCTCCTTCTTGTGTTATACTGCCAATATCTATTGGCCAAAGAAAGTCACATAGCACTGCTCAAATCAAGAATTGCGGAAGTATACTTCTTTCATGGATATAGAGAATATTTTTGAACAGTAATCTTATCTAACACAGGAGAGATGTAATGTGATATAGAGCCCAATATTTCCTTTTGTAATATTTTGTTCTGAGGTATATAACTTGATAAATTTTTATATATGTATACCCCATGAAGCCACCATCACAATCAAAATAATGAATACCACTTCCAAAAGTTTATAATCCCTCTCACTCCTCCCACCCAACCTATAGTCCCTAGATAACAGCAAATCTGCTATACTATAGGTTAGTATGCATTTTGTGGAATTTTATATCAATATCTGAACTCTTTTTTTAAAATCTGGTTTCTTTCACTCAGCATAATTATTTATCCATGTTGCTGCTTTTATTAATATCCCTTTTTATTACTGCCTAGTATTATATTGTATCCTATATAATAAAACCCTAATATGCAAATCGACCAAACGGGGAATGGCCAGTGGAGCAACCAGTCACTATGATGCGCACTGACCCCACTCCCCCCAAGAGGGAGGCGACCAGTGGTGGCTATTGGGGGGTGGGACTGGCCAGCAGGCAGCGCCAGGACGCCAGCCAAGGTGCCAGCTGGGGCCCCCCCATAGCCCCACCCACCAATTGCCCCACAGATGGCCCTGATTGCCAGCCAGGCCTAAGGACCCTACTCTATATATTGGGAACAGTCTCTTAGATTTAAAAATTAAAACCTGGCAAGGCTACTCTATCACTGAAAAAACAGGATGATACAGCGATGACATGCATGGACTCTGGCTTGCACATTTTGTGGTCAGCCCTGATTCTGACACTTATAACTGTGTGACAAAGCCAATTACTTAACTTCTCTCTGCTTCAGTTTTTCCACCCATAAGATGGGGAAAATGGTACTACTGCCTCAGAAGGATCATGTTTTGTACTACTTTTTATAATCAGGGCAAAAAAATGTAGCTGCCCATACAACAGCAAGATACCTTTCACCTGTATGAAAAGTATGGTCACTGGTGCATGCAGTGTCCTGGATTGTGAGAGGGATGTCCTACTGCTGGTTTAGGCCTGACATCCCCCAAGGGGTCCTGGATTACAAGAGGATGCAGGCCGGGCTGAGGGACCCTCTTCCATGCACAAATTTAGTGCACTGGGCCTCTAGTAGATATACGATAATTTAATTAATCCTGTTCATGGCATTTGGGTTGTCTCTAATTTTTTTTATATTACCTTTAAAGCTGCTATGACCATTCATAAGTTTGTGTAGACATACATTTTCATTTCTTTTGGACAAATTCCTATAAGAGGAATGGCTAGATTATATGTACCTGTATATTTAAAATTTTAAGAAACTGCCAAACAGTTTGCCACAGTAGTTGTATTATTTTACCCTCCTGTCAGCAGTATATGAAAGTTGCAGTTTCCCCATGTCTTTGCCAACATTTGGTGTGGTCAGTCTTTTTCATTTCAGCCATTTTAATGGTGTGTAGTAGTATCTGATTGTGATTTCACTTTGCATACCCCTAAAGACTAAGAATGACAAACATCTTTTCATGTCCTTATCTTCCATCTGCATATCTTTATTGGTGTGTCTGCTCAAAATGTCTGTCCATTTTTTCTTATGGAGTTGCTTATTTTATTAGCATTGAGTTTTGGGAATCTTTATATTTTCTGGGTAGGAGATATTTGTCTGATACATACTTTGCAATATTTTCTCCCAACATGTGGCTTCTCTTTTAACTTTAATGAAGCTTGCTTTATAAATTTGTTTTTTTATAGATTGTATTTTGGTGTTGTCTTTGAGAAATCATGAACTAATCAGAGGTCATAATGACCTCCTCTGTTCACTTCCAGTTTTCTAGTTTTACATCTAGGTTCTATGACCATATTGAATCAAATTTTGTGTGTGACGCAAGCTAATTTTCTTGCTTATAGATACCTAATTTTTCTGGCATTTGTTAGAAAAAAAAAAAACAAACTATTCTTTCTCCGCTGAATTTTATAGTATCTTTGTCAAAAATCAATTGTATATACACTGAGTGGCCAGATTATTATGACCACCTGACATTTGTAGGCAAATTAACTATAATTTCGCGCTGAAGTTGCTAGAGGGCCAGACCATTATAAATAGGGAAGCAGGTTGTTTACCACGACAGTAGAAGTGATTTTTTTCTGAAGATATGGGTAAGCAACGCGATTTAACAGCCTTTGAACGTGGGGTATATTTGAATGTGAGTAGCCAGATTATTATGACCACCCCATCAGTACTTCGTTGGGCCACCTTTTGCCTTCAATACTGTGGCGATTCTTCTTGGCATTGACTCCATGAGATGTTGAAAGGTAATGCAAGGAATCTGACCATGCCTGATGAATAGCACTGTCCAGTTCTATGAGATTTGATGGTTGTGGAACCAGCTGCCTGATGGCTCTTTTAACTTCGTCCCACAAATGCTCAATTGGATTGAGATCTGGTGATTGTGGGGGCCACCTAAGCAAGGTAAAGTCTCCCTTACATTCTTGAAACCACTCCTGCACAATACGAGCACCATGGCATGGCGCATGTCTTGTTGGAAGAAGCCATCTCCATTGGGATACGCCATCAACATGATAGGATGAACTTGATCAGCAATGATACTTAGGTATGTTGTGCTATTCAGACGTTGTTCCACACGAAGTAAAGGGCCCAAATCATGCCAGGAAAACATGCCCCAAACCATAACACTGCCCCCACCAGCTTGACGCATTGTACTCATGCATGTGGGGTGCATGCTTTCATGCTGTTTCCACCCAATTCTCACTCTGCCATCTGCATGATGCAACTGGAAACGTAATTCATCGGACCACATGACTTTTTTCCAATGCTCGACTGTCCAATCCTTGTGTTCCTGTGCGAATTGGAGATGTTTTATCTTGGTAACTGCAGACAGCAAAGGTGTTCAAAGAGGCCTTCGGCTTCCATATCCCATACGATGCAGTGTACGGCTAATTTGCCTACAAACGTCAGGTGGTCATAATAATCTGGCCACTCACTTTCAAATATATCCCATGTTCAAAGGCTGTTAAATCGCATTGTTTACCCATATCTTCAGAAAAAAAATCACTTCTGTCATGGTAAACAACCTGCTTCCCTATTTATAATGGTCTGGCCCTCTAGCAACTTCAGTGCGAAATTATAGCAAATTTGCCTACAAACGTCAAGTGGTCATAAAAATCTGGCCACTCAGTGTATATATGGAACTATTTTGGGATTCTCCATTTTATTCCAGTGATCTACTTACCTTTAAACCAATACCACAATGTCTGGATTCCCGTGGGTTTATAATAAGTGCTGAAATCAGGTTGCATTAGTTCTCTAATGTTGTTCTTACTTTTCAAAGTTGTGCTGGTTATTCTGGGACCTTTGGGTTTCTATCTGAATTTTAGAAACTGGCTGGTGTGATTCAGTGGTTATAGTGTCGGCCCAAGCACCAAAGGTTATCGGGTTCCATTCCTAGTCAAGGGCATGTGCATGGGTTGCAGGTTCAAATCCCTAGCCCTGGTCAGTGCTCATGTAGAAGGCAACCAAACAATGTGTCTCTTTCCCATCAATCTTTCTCTTTCTCTCTCTCCCTCTCTCCATCTCTCTCCATCTCCCTTCCTCCCTTCCACTCTCTCTAAAAAAAAGGCAATGGAAAAAATACCCTCTGGTGAGAATTTTTTAAAAAATGGCATGCTTAAGTTTCTATTAGAATTGAGAAAAATTGACAGCTGTACAATATTAACTCTTCCTGCCTATGAACATGGTATATTTCAATTACTTAGGTCTTCTTCAGTTTCTCTCACCAATGTTTTATAGTTTTCTTTTTCAAAAAAAAAAAATACTTTAATTTATCCCAGAGAGGGAGAGGGAGAGAGAGATAGAAACATCAATGATGAGAGATAATCATCAATCTGCTGCCTCCTACAGATCCCACACTGGAGCTTGAGCTCACAACTTGGGCATGTGCCCTGACTGGGAATCAAACCCTGACTTTGTGGCTCATAGGTCAACACTCAACCACTGAGCCATGCCAGCCAACCTGCTTTATAGTTTTCAGTGTATAGAAAATCATAAAAGCATTTGTTTTTATTTCTAATATATAGAAACACAATTGATATTTGTGCAGTGATCTTGTATCCTGCAGCCTTGCAAAAACTCATTTAGTCGAGTTTTTGTAAATACATTGGATTTTTACATACAGAATCATATTATCTGAGAGTAAAGTTTTACTTCTTCCTCTCCATCTTGGATGGCTGTTCTCTTGCCTTATTGTACAGGCTGAAGCCTCAGTAAAAATATTGAATAAAAATAGTGAGAATGGACATCTTTTTCTTGTTCCTGATCTTATGGGGAAAACATTCCGTCTTTCACCATTAGGTATCATGTTACCTGTAGATTTTTCATAGATGCCCTTTATTGGGTTAAGAACATTCCCTTCTATTCCTACTTTGGTGTGAAATTGATGTGGGTCTCTTTTATACCTTTTATATCTTAACTTTTGACCATATGGATTATCCTATACTAGAGGCCCAATGCGCGAAATTCGTACAAGAGTAGGCCTTCCTTCCCCCAGCTCAGCACCCAGGACCTGGGCTTCCCTCGCAGCCCTACTCTAGAAGGACATCCGGTCTAATTAGACCGACCGGCAGAACTATCAGTCGCTATGACATGCACTGACCACCAGGAGGCAGACGTTCAATGCAGGATCTGCCCCCAGCCCTCAGGCCCAAGGCCAGCCAAGGCAGGTCTCCCCAATTGCTCCACCAGTCACCCAGTAGAGGGAGACAACCAGTGGTGGGGGGCAGGGCCGGTGAGTGGGTGGCACCAGGACAACCAAGGCAGGTGCCAGTGGGGACCCCCTGATCACCCCGCCAGTGCTCCCACAGATCAGCCCTGATTGCCGGCCAGGCCTAGGGACCTTACCCGTTCGTGAATTTTGTGCACAGGGCCTCTAGTAGTAGTAATAACTGCTTTATTGTTTTTGTCTAATGATTCGAACATCTATGCAAGTTCTAGGTTGGTTTTTAATGATTTATTTTTCTCCTCATTATGGGAAATATTTTCCTGTTAATTTCATCTTGTTGGGTTCTGAATGTTTTTATATTTAAAATATTTTTTAATTTTGTCTAGGTGCAGGTAAATTATTTGAAATCACTTGATCTTTTTGAGTCTAGCTTTTCATATTTATTAGGTGGAATCAGAATTGTGTTTAGCGTAGGGCTCGTTATTGCCCACAACTGAGGCAAGACCCTTTTGAGTATTCTTTCCCATGCCACATAAATTATGAGGTTTAAACCATGCTCGAGGGGGAGGGGAGGGACAAATTACTTTTGGATATTAGCACACACTAAACTATCTAGAAAAGTAAATTAACAAACATCCATATCATGTATCCTAGAGGCAGGATTTTCACACTTCTGAACCATCCACATCACTGCTTCCATCTAGCTGCTCTTAATGTGAGACCAAATGTCCTCAAGCAATTATATTTATTAGTTCACCTTCCCCCAACTTTACTCAAAATATGCTAAATGTCAGAGTCCTCTCTCTCTTTAGGGCCTCATGTGCGATACATTCAGAAGCCTGACAACAGGCCCTGCTCCATCACCGACTCCATCAAACGGTTTCCCAAAGAGGAGCCCCCAGAGGGGAACGCCACCAGCCCACCGCAGAACCCACCCTCCAACCTCACCGTGGTCACCGTGGAAGGATGCCCCTCATTTGTCATCTTGGACTGGGAAAAGCCACCCAATGACACTGTCACTGGTAAGAGCCTGGCAGAGGACTGTTACTAATATGCTGCAATGGGCCTGTGGAACCCTGAGTCAAACTATAGCCTGTGGGTCCTCGCTCAGGAGCAGCGAGTCCTAGCAGAGTTCTGCTGTCCCTGTGGCACATTCCTGCCGAAAATGTCATGTGATGGGGAAAGATCATCTTTGTCCCGGTTATGGGCTCCCTGTTCATCATCCTTAGCCGATCTCTCTAAGTTGCATCCTTTCATCTCCTCTTAGAATGTTTTCATAATGGGGAGATATATCTAGTTTTTTTATTACCCAGAAAATTACAGATAATATATGAGAAGTTGCCACTGCTGACAATATTTAAATCAGTTTTCCTTTCACCAACCCAGTTTCTAGATCAACCTAGAACTTTCAAGCAGGCTAAAATTTTATTTCAATCATTTCAGGATACATGTTTTAAAAATTCTATTTCTGGTTAATTTTCTGCTTATTTCCTGAAATTTTTATTCTGCTATCCACCCACCCATTTCCTTCTAAAATTACTGTGAAAATTAAAAATCCTGAGTCATTCTTTGAACTTGTTAGATGGGAATTTAATTCTCCATAATGAACAGAATAATCCAACTAGAGAGGAAGGGGAAAGATCAACGACCTAAATCAGTTTGAGAATACAGCCTGAGTACGAAAGGTTCCTGCTGCCCACGTCCCTGTTCGGGCGCCTGGAGCAGGTGGACAGGCCACGGAGGAGCCCGCTAAGAAGCTGTCAGCAGGAGTAGAGATCCCTACACAAAGGGAGTGGGGAGTGCAAATTTTAGGCTCTGCCGAAAAAGTTTTCTATGAATAAAGAAGAAAACAGCAGGTATATCTCCTCAGACAAACTGTCTGGGAAACTCCAGTGTAAGCAGCCAGTCTTTACTTAGCTGGCTTTTTTAAAAACCATATTTTGTAAATTTTCTTCCTCATGTAAAGCTTACCTTTGTATTGAGAGCAAACCAGTCACTGCCGGTGGCTCCTGGGGACTTGCCTAGTCCTGCTTCTTGGGACTGTGCCCATAGGTACTAAGTCAGTATCTAAATCAGCATCAAAAAATCAATCAATCTCTAAGTATTGATTATCTACATGTATTAAAAAGTTCAAAACTTTCAATCCATATACTGTGCTAATAAGAAGATCCTGTGGTAGTCTGAGGTTTAATTCTCACAAAACCAAATGATCTATAAAATTTCATTTGCCTTAAAGATGTGGGACATCAAGTTGGAATTGGTTAGTCTACTAGGTCTAATAATCTAATAGAGCAATTTTCAACCAATATGCCACGACAATTTTTAAAACATACAATACCTGACTATTTAGTCAGGAGCACTGACCTCTTTTCCCTTAGACTGTCAAATTAAAAAATGACAACAGCTAACACAACAGCCATCCAGTGTGAAACATAAATACATAGGTCATATAAGAGTTTCATCTTATTGGTCACATTGCATAATAAGAGTAGGTAATTACCATTTTTTTAATCAATCAAAATTGTACCTGTTTTTGTCAGATTGGCAAAAAATATATTTTTAGTGTGCTGCAGAATTTTAATAATTAGTTTATGTGTGTCATGTGATGAAAAATGTCAAAAATCACTGACCTAATACATGTAATACATATTCACTTGTGTATGTCAATTATATCTGATTTTTTTTAAGAGAATGATTTTACTTTCTGGTTTATTATGTAACATTTTTTAAAAATCACATAAGCTTGTAATCTCAAAGTATTCTAACCAATTACTTTTGGAACACTGTTACCAAATGTTAATGGACTGATTGAGATCTTTCATAAGATAACAGACTTAAATAACAGTTTTCATGGATAAGGACCACATCTCATTAGCTATATTTTCTACATAAAAATAATTCTATATTTAACTATTACTCATCTGGCCTGTATTTAAATGTTGGACAGACGATATACCCTAATGGTCTGTTCTATTTTTTTTCATTTGTTTATTTTTAAATTGTTAATTTAAATGTAATCTTGCTTTCAAATAAACCAGCAGCCCAGAACTTATAGAAATTAATTCTCATATCACTGAAAATGATATGAAAGGAAAAGATTGAGAAAAAGAACAGAAAGAGAGTGAAACATATTCTTTATTACATGCATTGGCTTGGTCTATCTCTCTCCATAAATCTTTCTTTTAATTGACAGACATGTACATATTCACCTCTAGTAAACACATTCAAATTCAGTTGCTTCTACATGCCCCTTCTACACTAATGTAGAAATAGGTGACCTAAGAAATTGGCCACACACTGCTGGGGTCCTTGGCTACTCAAAGTTAAGTTGGTTATAAGGTGTTGCTTTATGATATGCCAAGAGTATGCTGACATCTATTCAAATCCCAGACCAGCTGTGTTCTAAATATGGAACTTGGGGTATATAGTTAGCCTCTCGGAACTTTAGCTTCCTTATTTGTAATGATACTCATCATTATCAGTTTATCCTGAGGATAAAATTAAACAGAATGAATGCCCAGCATAAGTCAGCAGCTGTTAAATTAATGTTTGTCAGTGGTCGAAGTAGTAGGACAGGGAGAAATAGTATCACCATTACTATTTTCATGCTCTGTTGACTAGAGTGGTGTTCCCAAACTTTACAATAAATAACTTTTTCTATTAAGTGAAATTTTTCATAATAGGACAATAAAACCATTTGAAGGGGGGGGGAGACCAATTATTCAGTGTTAGTTCTTTACAGATTTCCTTATGTCTTTACTGATAATGAAATTATAAACAAAATCCCATATTTGAAACAAAGAAATATGGGCATAAATTTAAGAGACTGTCTTTACCTTTGGAAATATACTCAGAGTGTATCTACAAATATTTATTCCAAAATCAACATTCCATTTTTATAATGTTGGTGGATTTATTAAAAGCTATTATCATCTAAAACATTAAAAATAAAAGATATATTTACAAAGCCCAAAAATATACATTCACAACGCTAGAATTCTGAGAGTTCTAAACAGCTATTTAATTATGAAGGTAAGTCCTAGATTCATTTTGAAAACTACAGTCTTTTAGGACTAAAATAGTATTAAATCACTAGTGGCCTGGTGCACGAATTCATGCACATTGAAAGGAAATTAATTAGAAGAAATATTTTAATATTGCAATTCGTCCTTTCTCTGTAATAGAAGTGTCAGAGATGAAAGAAAATTAGTAAAATGTATATGAAAATAATATATAAATTGATTAATAAATAAACAATAACATGATATAACAACAACAAAGGCATGATATAAAAAGAAAAACATGATATAAAAACATTGATAAAAACAATGACTGATAAATTGATTAAACTTATTCTAACACTGAGGCCAGTGTCAAATGGGGACAAATCAATTCTTGGAATCAGAACAACCTCTCTTCTGCAGATCCTATTAATACTTCAGCTTTGACTATGTTAGGTCTCAATCTTTTTATAATAAATCTAGTACCATTACAAAGACCCCATTTACTATTAAGATTTCTCAGTAGCATGGTGATTGCACCTACTTTCAATTCTAATTTATGACATGGCATTCCCAAAGGAGTAATACTTTTAAGAAATTCAATGAGAAAATTTTCCTTTTCGGCATCATCCACTGAATCTAGTATTATTGTCGATTACACTGTCGTCTCTGAGTCTTAATGTAATATTCATTCCCCAGCCTTTTTCACCTTGTGGGAAAAGAATAGGATATGTCATTGCATCTAATGTAGGAAACAGAATACTGATTTGTTTCATTTTAGTGGCATTTGTATTATTGGGATCTGGTTTACAATGAATGAGCAAGTCCATTTCAAAAGGAGGTCCTCCATCTTTGTTTCTGAATATGATGGCAACTTCAGATACACAGGGATAATTATATCTACTCAGATAACTACTACGATCATATTTAATTGCCATTGTTACTTCTGTGTGACGCTGCTTTCTTTCAACTTCAGAATGTCAACAAAAACAACCAAATTCACAATCAACAATGGCAGATCGAAACACATGCATGCGATTGGCGCCAGCGAGAGCTTTATATGTATTGAGCATGCACGAGTCAACTTAGCTTTTTATAGAGAATAAACTTGCTTAATTAGACCTGCTTTCTGATTTAGCTAAACTTTTTCCAGCCCAGTGAAGCACCCCAACTTCTCTTTCAGGTAATTGTCAGCAACACAGCAGTAAATATCAACACGAAGCACATTATTATTATGCTTCACGCAGGGAGAACAAAGGGTAAACTATTTAACTGCAGCAGTGTTTGACTATATTCTGCGCAGTGAGAAAACCTGAGGTCTTTTCAAGGTCCACCATTTCTTACTTCTTTTCAGTCGGGTCAAGTTTATAAACTTTCTAAATCTCTGTTTTCCAGCTAATGAAAAGAAAATAGGATTCCACCGAGTCTCCTATCTACCTACTCCAGGACTTCTGTGAGGATCAAATGAGATGAGGCACGGGAAAATGCTTCACAGACATTTGGTTAAAGTGTAAAGTGTTTCCACCTGAGGCTAGTCATCGCTAGGGAGAGGAAGCCAGGTGTTGCTACTTGATGTCATTACCCAGATGGTTGGACACTTAGCATATTAGCCTTTTATATAGATCAGTGGTTCTCAGCCTTGGCTGCACATTAGAATCGCCTGGGAATCTTTTTAAAATCCTGATTTCTGGGCCTCATCCTCCGGAAATTCTGTTTCTTTGTTACTAATGTTGTGGCCTCACCCCATAACAAAGAAACAGAATTTCCGGAGGATGAGGCCCAGAAATCAGGATTTTAAAAAGATTCCCAGGTGATTCTAATGTGCAGCCAAGGTTGAGAACCACTGATATAGATAAATCCTTTAAATTTGAAGTCAAAAGAAGATTAGAGAAGATATAAAATAAGAATTTCAGGTTTGAAGGGCTGGGGTAATATTAAAAAGAGTAACATATAGTCGATAAATGCTCCAAACCAAAGATTTTTTTTGAAGGTAGTAGCTTTTATGCATAACCAATTGGAATGTCGCAGAAATTGTTCTTTTGATAACTAAATTATACTTCAATCTTTTCGAATGAAATCTTTCAAATTTTTGTGACCCTATTTTCAAAACACAACTAATACGGGATAATAAAAGCAAGCAACAATAATAGGTACCACTTGTTGAGAAAATAAGCACTGGCTATATATGTTCCTAATTTAATCCCGCAAGCAACACTCTGAAGAGACATTATTGACATTTTACAGATGGGAAAACTGGGACTAAGATCAAGGCAAGTGGCTTGGTTTATCTCTCTCCATCAAGCCACACAGTTTCCATTTTAAAAAAATAAAGTTTACTCCCATTTAATTTCTAGTACATGTTTCTAGTAAATATCCCTCCACAGCTGAGGAAAGATATAAAAAGGACATATTGAATTCAGGGTCCTTCCCCTTTCTCCCTCTCTCTCCACCCTCTGTTAGAATAGAAAACCAATGGAACTGGGGACAAAAAGAGCTGGGAAACAACAAAACCAAACCCCAAATGTTTGGGAACAAAAGAGTCTGAGGAAGGAATACTAAACACCAACCATTGGTCCTTTAATAGCTGCACTGACATGTCCAGACACAGTGGCGTTGCCTTCCAGTTTATTATTGAGCTTTTGGAAAGACAGCCAAAAGAAAATATTCATAAAGAGTCATGTTCCTTTTTAGAATTTTGAAATATAGCATGAAAATCCTTCCCAAATGAAAGTTGGTGATTATAAGTCTCCTGAGTTACTTCATGGTTTCCTACCTTCGTTCTCAGTGCCAATACAGGAATCCTCCGGAACTCGCCAGCTCCTTCGCAGCCTCCCGCTTTCACCGACACCCACCACTTGTGTATTTCTTCATACTGATGGAGCTGATTTTGAGTGGGGTTTTGTTTCTTGTTTTTTGTTGGATATTTTTAAATCCTCTGTATGAGCTTGTCACATGTGTTATAAACCCAACTGAGAGCAGGGAAAACCATTTAACAAATTTGTAAATTATATTTCAGATTCTGAAACTCTTTCTCTTTTCATTAGCCCTGCAAGTTCATAGAAATATGCCTTTAAGTGAAATTTATGCAGATCTCTGTTCAGACTTTAAAGAATAGCTTCTTTCTACAAATACAAAGTTAATTGTCAAAGGGGCATATATAAGCAGTATGTACAAAACTTAATAACTTATATAAGATGGAGGTGCAAAAATCCCATCTCTATATATAAAAGCCTACACAACCGTTATGACCGAACGACCAGAATGACTGGAATGACCAGTCGCTATAACACGCACTGGCCACCAGGGGGCAGATGCTCAATGCAGGAGCTGCCCCCTGGTGGTCATTGCACTCCCACAGCTGGAGCACCGCTCAGCTGACCAATCCATCCCAGTGGCCCACCAGCCCTGAGGCAACCACTCCCTCCCTCAGTAGTCCTGCAGGTCCAATCTCTAGAGAACAGGCCGGGCACCAATGGACCAGCGCCTCCAGCATGATCCCAACAATGCCACTGGCCTCCTGGAAGTCATCCTCAGGCACCGTGGCTGCTTCCCCTCCCTAGACTCTTCGCAAGGAAGCAAGGATATAAAAGCCACCACCAGGTGGCTCCCAACAGCCAGTGTAAACATCAGTGGGACAGATCTGGAACCTGGGCTGGCAAGGGCGTCCCACCACCCATCCAGAGAGCCAATCGTATCTTGGCCTTCCCCACACCCCTCAAGACCCCACCTGTGCATGAATTCGTGCACTGGGCCTCTAGTAATTCTATAAATCACAATAATGAATGATAGGAAAGTATAGTTCATTGTGTGGTTAGCTGTCATTTGCTGCTATGGTTTGAGACCCAGATGAGTTTTTTGCAGCAGCACCATGTGGTCAGTGGCCTTTTCCCCATAGAGTAGGAAACAGGGCTCCTACACACACACCACTCAGCAGTGCTCTCCAATGGCAGGCTGACTTGCCTCACAAAATCATAGGTACCAGTTTCCAAAGCTACCGTAGGAGTGTCATTGACCTTCACAGTTGCCAGGCCTTCCCTGCTCTGCTAAAGGGAAAGCAGAAATGGTCTATGAGCAACTCCCCAAATGCTTGGGGACCTTTGTCATCTGCTGACCATACCAATCTGGAAATTGCAAATGCATAAGATGTATTTGTAATATATGCATAATTTATAATATCAACATGTAATGTATAAGATCAGAGCTGCAATCTGAGTTGTTTATTTTTATGACAGTGACTTTATTATGCTATTAGCATGTAGAACATTTAATTCAGCCAGAAAGTAAAGATGAGTACCTGTTGGCTTTTTCACTTTTCAGAATATGAAGTTATATCCAGAGAAAATGGGTCATTCAGTGGGAAGAACAAGTCCATTCAAATTACAAATCAAACCTTCTCCACCGTAGAAAATCTAAAGCCAAACACAAGGTAAGCAAGCCACCAGTGCTATGACAGGTGAATTCTGAGAGTGCAAAGTCAGAATGAAGGAATGGAGTGACATCATCCCTCTGTGTCCTCGGGGAGGGTCTAATTTGCATTTCATTCTTTGGCTTTCACAGCACTTGAAACCTTTAAAGTCATATTTTGCAAATATGCAAGTTACTGGTGGGGATACAAGAGCTAACAAGATGGTCTTGTAAGTTAACATATAGCTGGGAACACTGAAAAATAGAAGTTCATTAGTACCAGATGTTGATATTAAATACCAAAATTAGAGAAGAAAGGCTGTGGATCAGTGACACATGGAGTGTGCATGAGGTAAACTACATTTGAAGTACAGAAGAACTTAGCTGGCATGCTGGAAAGGGGAGGGCAAGGAAATAAAAGCCATGAGGTAGATGCAGGGGTCAGTGTGTAATAGTTAATGCTTAAGGTAACTAAAATGAGTCCCAGATATAGCAATCCTTTGCTTTTGGGTCTTTTTAAAATAGACAAATGAGAACAGATTTTTGAAAAAAAGATATAAATAATATTAGCATCATTCTATAATAAACAACTTTTCTTGATATCCCACATTACACATTGACACCAGGTTGTTTATATTGCTACTAGAGGCCCGGTGCATGAAAATTCATGCACTGGAGGGGAGTCCCTCAGCCCGGCCTGTCCCCTCTCACAGTCCGGGAGCCCTCAGGGGTGGGAGGTGACCCAGCGATCAGGAGAAGGCGACACCCCCATCACACCTCTGCTACTGCCACTGCCCACAGCGCAAGCCTTGGCTGGCCCTGGTTACCTGAGCCTTGGGCAGCCCTGGGCAGCTGGGGGGCTGAGGGGACTGGGTGCCACCATCTTGTGGCTGTGGGCACCTCCATCTTTGAGGGCGTGGCAGTCAATTAGCATATTCCCTCCTTATTGGCTGTGGGTGCCGCCATCTTTGAGGGCGTGGCAGTCAATTAGCATATTCCCTCCTTATTGGCTGTGGGTGCCGCCATCTTTGAGGGCGTGGCAGTCAATTAGCATATTCCCTCTTTATTAGATAGGATGTAGATTTGTGATTCTTTTATAAATCTAAATTACACAATATTTTGTCAGTTCACTTTATTATTACAAGAAATATAAAGGCCTTAAGACATTTCTAGAAATGCAGTAAGGTTTTTTTTGTTTGTTTGTTTGTTTGTTTGTTTTTTAATATATTTTTATTGATTTCAGAGAGAGGAGGGGAGAGGGAGAGAGAGACAGAAACATCTATGATGAGAGAGAATCATGGATCGGCTGCCTCCTGCACGCCCCACACTGGGGATTGAACCCAAAACCCAGGCATGTGCCCTGACAGGGAATCGAACTGTGACCTCCTGGTTCACAGGTCGACTCTCAACCACTGAGCCACGCCAGCTGGGCTGCAGTAAGGTTTTTTATGTTTTGTTTTACATGGCTGAATCGCCAAATTTAGGCATGTCAAACAAATCAAAAATCAAGGAGATTCTTAAATGGATACAGTCAAGCATTTTCTTAACAAAGTCAATATGCTATATGGTCCTGGACTGAATTTTACTCTCTGTGGGAAATCAATCTCTCCTCAAACTCCAAAACACTGTTTGGTAAATTGTCTGTGCTTCCTGTTTAAAAAGAAAAACAACTGGCATCTTGAGTTATAGTCCACCAAGGAACATAGAAGAATTTTCAGAGGGACACAATCGGGAATTTTTTCAGAGAGAATATTGCATCGCTCAGTGAAGTTCCTCAGTGTTGAAAAAGATCAGCATAGGTGAGGGCTGAAACTCCAGCATCGGAGACTTTGTAAATTTCACCTCCTGTATCTTTCATTGTCATCAATGGATTGGATGGAATTGGATATTGACTGTGACAACCAAAAGAGCCCGTTTTGGCTCTGTCAGCAGGAAGCATCTATTTCCTTATAGATGGCTGCTGTATATTAAACTCTAGTCCAATTCTGCAAAAATAACACTTTTCCACAAGCATTTTTTTTCAAACTTTCTATTTTGAGCTATAATATGGAAAATTTTGCAACTGCTGCTGTTCTTAAAGGATTTAAGTTAGCCAAAATAAGCGTATATTTTAGTAATGATGACCTTGGTTCTGTTTTCTTAACAAGATTAACAGAGACAGAGCCTTTTTTACTATAATACATTTTAAAGAAAAAGTAAAAAAGAAAACTCATTTAAATTGGACTTTATAATAGTGGACTTGGGTTTATAGGACTTGGAAGGAATATCTCTTCAGTTTCCTGCTTTTTATTCCATTTAATAAAAAGTGGGCCGTGTAGTATACAGGAAATACATTGAAAAGCATCCAGTTTCTAAATGTTCATTGTGTTCCTTTTCTGAATCAGGCCGTCCTCAGAACTCACAGCGCACCTATTAGCTATAATCAGAAGTAGAACAGTTATTCCAGTGACATTTTCTTTTTTTTTAATTCTTTTTAATCCTAATCTGAAGATATTTTTTCCATTGCCTTTTTTTTAAAGAGAGAGTGGAAGGGAGGATGGGAGGGAGAGAGAGAGAAACATCAATGTGTGAGAGACACATCCATTGATTGCCTCTCACACAAGCCCCAGCTGGGGCAGGAGATCAAGCCTGCAACCCAGGATGTGCCCTTGAATAGGAATTGAAGCCAAGACCCTTCGGTACATGGGCTGACGCTCAAACCACTCAGCAACACCAGCCAGGGCTCTAGTGACGTGTTCCATGTGATTTGTTTGTTAAGGGTTTGTGTTTTCATTTATTAAGTGCCAACCATATCTCAGCGGTGTGTTAGTGTTGTGACTACAAATCAATAAACATGGTGCCTGCTCTTGAGAAGCTAGAGGTTGGGGTGGGGAGAGGGTAGGCAATTAATAACAGATTATACTACACAGAGTGGTGAGAGCTCTGGTAGAAGTATGTCCAAGGCGCTATGGGGACCTGGGGTGGGTGGCACTTCACAAGGTCTGGGGAACTTAGGAAAAGCTTCCTGAAGAAGGTGGCACCTGGGCTGATCCTTAGGATAAGTAGGAAGGAGCTATGGAGGTGACTGTCTCAGGGGAAAGGAATGTCAGAGAGAATAGCACTGTCAATGCAGAAGCAAGAGTGGCATGGCTGTGGGCAGTGAGCAATATGCTGCTTTTACCAGTGTGAGGGGTGAAAAGCGGACCGAAAAGAGAGTCAGCAAAGACAGCAAAGAGAGGTGGAAGCTAGGTTGTGGAGAGCCTTCCATGCCAGATCAGGAAAATGGGTCAAGGGATGAGGAGAACTTGAAGGAGGGTAACTGGGGAGGGACTTGTTCTTTCATTTTTGTTTTCATTTTGACTTTCATTTAGTTGAAAAAATCGTTTTTATACTTGAGCTACTTATAATGAGTGACTGTTGGTGAAATAAATCTACCAAAAAAGAACGCCATTTTGGCATCTTGTTCAAGAAAAGTACCTTTGGGCCGAGTTGCATTTTACCCTGGAATCACAGGACCAATCTGGGATTCACATCTAGCTTCTGGTCTAACTGTTGTAGGACGCGTGCGCATTGTTTCTGTCCTTTGCCTCAAACTGAAATACAACCATGTCCCCTTTTTCCCGCCCTCATGGTGTGTGTCTTCCTTATGTCTCTTGTCCTTCGTCAGTGGGCCTTCTAAGGAAGACCCCTACAGCCTATTCTCCTCTATAGACAAAGCCCAAAGGGAGGCCCTTTCTGCGTGTGTCTTTGGGGGAGAGCAATACTAAATTTAGTTTAGGAACCCTGCTGACTTTTACTACAAGGCATAAATTTGAAGCCATTCAAGTGTGTCTGTATGTGGCTTACTCAATGTTATTTTTAGAGTTTGGTATGATTGAATGAAATCCATTAGGATATAAAGACTGTTGATGTTCATATATATGATTTCACCAGGATTATGTTGATAGCCCCTAATGGGTCAGGATTTGAAAGCTGTATATCAGTAATTTGAAGTAAAAAACATTTTCCCATTGGGGGAAAATATAATGCCTGTGGGGGTAGAGGTGCTCTAATGAAAATTGTTTTGCCTACAATAAATGAAACTATGTGGTCTTCAACAGGTCCCAGTACCCAAAGAGCCTGTGAATGCATACCATGCTCTCTTAACAGAGGCATGCAAGAGATTAATTTGTCTATTTTAATGAACAAAGGTTTTGAGTTGAAATATTAAAAACTATTTGTTGAAATCCCTATTAGTCAAAGTAACTTAATAAGTTAAGGAAGGAAGAATAAGCTGAAGTCTAATTATTTCATTGAATTTAAGGTTTCAGAAGCCTAAAAGTATCTAGAGAAACAAAACTAACACCCATGAAACAGGCATCATAAGACAGCATAAAAGAACATGCCAGTGTAGGACTTACACCCAGTTCTGCAATTTATCAGGAGAGAAAGCCTCATAGAGCACTTGAGACTATAACTTGGCAGTAGCGGATAGGAAGGAATGGGACAGGCTGGCAAGAAAAGAAAGAGCAACAATAGCATTTAAGTCAAATTCACGTGCATGACTTAGGTGAAATACAAGTAGTCCTCAAAGTTACTATGGACAGCAAGGCTGCAGCCAGAATAATAAAATTATGAGTTCCCAAATTTAGGTTCATTGGCTTTTTGATGCAAGCTTTTTTCAGACCGTATCACATTGTAGTTTCATTCCATTGTATCTACTGCCCAACCATGGCCCAAGATTAATGCTAATAAAAGATACTGTAAAATAAAGAGGAAGTATGTACAGGATGCAGCCAGCAAGTGGTTTTTATTGGCTTATAAAGAATGGCTTTGGTCACATTTCAATGCTTGGGAAAATTTGATAATCAAAATATATGGTAAAATTGAATTCCCAAAATAGGCAAACTTTGAAGTATAGCTGTTCTGAAATTCCCTATTTGAAAAGCTGAAGAAGATAACTTCTAAAAGAATTCCAATCCTGCCCTGACCAGTTTGGCTCAGTGGATAGAGCATCGGCCTGCGGACTGAAAGGTCCCGGGTTCGATTCTGGTCAAGGGCATG